AGCTTGATTGAGCAGACGAAGATGACGATGACGAAGACGAGGAGCTCGAACGACCATGACTTCTGGGAACTCTGGAAGAATGCGTTTTCAGTGAGCAAAATCATTATTAAATAGTAGAATAGAAGGGCTGGCCCTATGTGTCATGCATCGGAAGACATTTTACGATGCAGTCGGTGTCTCATCCCTTAGCTGTAGATACAGATAAGCACAAATAAAGCAAATAAGGAAATCGAAAAATGAAGGAAAACTAAAAAAGATACTTTCTCTCCGAGCTCGGTTCCTTTTTCTCGTCCTTTTCCTCAATATAAACATTCTCAATTGCTTCTTCCAGAGTTTTCCCTTCGGCTTTCAGCTTCTCCTCAACAGCCTTCCTGATTGTATTTTTCTTCGCGTAATATTCGAGCAAACCAAGCCTTTCCCATCCATCGCTACAAAAGAAATCTTATCATTAATAATTAAAAGCAAACCTGCTTCGCTTGATGGTCAGACCCCTTTTGAGCTGACACTGGGACGCGTTGAGTATCCTCATTTCGACTCGAACGCTGTTTCTTATCGAGGAGGGAACAGGGGGAGGGAGGAAAGGGGGAGGTTCAAAAAAATAAGGGTTAAATTTGAAAACTTTTTCACAAAAACTGGCCTGGCAAGGAAAATATTATCACCAAATTCTTCATTCAAACTGGGCACTATAATATTTTACAAAAATTCTATCGAAGAAATCGAAATGCAAGGATTTATTTTAGTCCAGAAGTTTCATAAATTTAAGCAAAACTCTCGCAAGGCTTAAAAATAAACCCAAAACTCTGCAATAAAATGACGGAAGAAAAAACCTACGCGTCTCGTGGATTATCCAAAGCAGGTGGGGCATAGAATGCATCCATCGCACGTAGCAATCTTTCACTTGGTGGAATCGGTGGCGGTAGACGTAGTTTTGACACAATTACCGGTTTATACTGAAAACGCATTCAGCCTTTATACAAGAACAAATACGTCACTGTTAAACGAATAATACACAAATGGTTGAATGAACTAAAGTAAAACGCAGTACTGGCCTCAAAGGCCTTGTGAAGGAATGGAACCAGGGGCAGGAACAGCGGCCCGTCCAGCGCAGAGTATCGACCGGCAAGGATTGCACCAACCCTACATGACCTAAGGAGACAACCTAAGAAGACAATTTCTTCATCTGCTGAAGCAGTAATTTACAATTCTATCATTCTACCAGCGGTGTGAAACGTGGAATATCACTTCTGCTGAAGGAAGGGAACTGGCAGTTTCACAAAGACGTCGATGACATACAGCTGCTCAAGTATTCAAGTAAGCAGACAAAATCCAATCAGAAGAGACATAATTCCCCTTAGGAAACAAACTTCTATTAAGGAGGCAAAACTCTACCCCTTCATCCTAGCAGACATTAGCGATAACGACAAGGAACGGGAATTTTTTAGTATTCAACGTCCACTTTAAAAACCACCCGTGTGTTGGCAACCTTCCAGATCCGAAAATATCACTGTAGGGACAAACTACATCGACTGAAAAGCGCCAGAAACGTATATATCACCAACGGAGAATTTGTTAGAAAAAATTTTATCATGTATAAAAACGTACCAGAACATCTTCCATGTCAATCAGTGGCATCATCATACCAGCTGGCAAGTCGTAGTATGGTGCTGTTGGAATTAAGCTAGCGTCATCAAACATCTGCAAACGAAGAAATACTATTCAAAAATGCCTTCTATCAATAAGGTACTCATTCAGAAATGCCTGAGGTCTGGATGCTATAACGCTTGAAATGAGATTTCGATGCCAAAAACGTACCAGCAGCTTCCCGAAATGTTAAAGCCATGGCAAATATTTCTGTCAGGAGAACCTCTGAACTGGTAGTTTTTATGCATTTTTTGCAGAAATGCAATGCGAAAAACGCATACTGACGAGAGGTTGTCTGTGTGTCCGTGTGTCTGTGTGTGCGTCTGTAACGCACTTTCATCTCAGGACCTATAAAAGCTGCGGGGATGAAATTTCGGGAACTTAATCTACATGCTTGTGCCGCCCCCAATCCCCAAAATGGGCGCCAAAACCCGCGTGGTACACGTGTACGGGCCCGCCAAAGTTTTTTTGGGGTCAGATCATAACTCGAGGATCTGAGAAGCTTGAACGCTGAAATCTTGGGATAATGTTCTTCGTCCAACCGGGTATTAGTGGGTTCAAACCCAGCCCCCCGGGTAAGCGTGGTACCCACGTACGAGCCCGCCAAAATTTTTTCCGGGTAAGTTCATAACTCGGGGATCTGAAAGCTAAAAGGCTGAAAACTTGGGGGGACAGGCCGCGGAAGCTAGAAAACTGAAATTTTAAGGGGATGTTTCTTGACAGTTCTGGCGGCCAGTCTTAATTTGTTTAGCTAGAAGCATTTGTCAAAAAAACCGGTACCGGTAGCAACAAAAACTGAGGGGAACCTTGCAAAAAACGCATCTTCGCACGGACAGCCCCTGCGCTGGCCAATTATTTCAAAGGAGGAAACGAACAGCAGAACTTCTAGCACGCTGACCACGGGGCCATGCAGTTCTCATGAACGGTACTCCATTTTGAAAGTGGTTATGCACCAGGAGGGAATCGAACCGTTCGTCTTCACATTTGGGCGCGCAGTGCAAGACCATTGCATCGCTGGCCCTTGCGCCCCGCCCACCTGCTAGTGCACCTATACTCTGTATGTATGACATCCCCATAAAAACTCAGTGTACCCTGCTGCTGCAGCACACCTTTTCAATAACTGCCGACTTTTCGCGAGACTTCCGTGGCTTTCGTGAGCAGCTCCGATTATAGAGCAACTGCGAAAGCTGCCAGCTACAAAGCCATGGGCGGACCCAGGGGGAGGGGCGATAGGTCATCCCCCCTCCCCTCTTTCGCTCTACCCAAGCGGCACAGGTAGTAGTGTTAAAATTGTAGAAAACTCTCTTTCGCACTCCCCGTCCCAGCAGATCGCCCTGGATCCGTCCCTGTGCAAATTCACATATTCGTTTAAACATGGCGGAATGGGGCACTGCACTGATGATTCCCACCCCATTCCGCACCGTCTGTGTTTACAGTTTAGGGATGAAACACAGACAGGACAAGAGCTAATACACATACAGGCTCGCTTGTCTGGGTATCTAAATTGGCACTTCCTGCTTTCCCACAACTGTCAATATTCGACTGTGTACCTCTCATCAGCGGGTCTATAGTGCCAAACAAACTATGAATGTAAGCAAGCATAAGACTCCAGGCCCTCACTTCTTCCAATCCCCGAGCCATTGATATTCATAATTTGCATCTTAAAAATTTCTAAAACACTTGATATGAAGCACAGTTGATCCAAAAATTTCAAATATAATAGTTACATTTCGAGGTGGTGGCCCGAAAGTAGCTCCTTTTGGAGGACCGCGAAAAGGTGGCCGAGTCGGCGGTACTTCTGGCTCTTCAATCCTCTCTTGCTCATCTCGATCGATACCATATTCTTCTTCATCGTAAACGAAATAAGATGGTTCATCATCATCTGGACGAGCGTGATATATATCTAAATGTTATCAAACACACGCATTTAATACAAATTCCAGTGTTCATGAACAATTTTAGGAAAAATATGGAAATGACTTAACTTAATCTTCAACAATTTTTTCCCTGAACAGACAATATTTATCCTCCCCCCCCCCCCCCCCCCCCCCCCCCCCCCCCCCCCCCCCCCCCCCCCCCCCCCCCAAAAAAAAAACAAAAAAAAAAAA